TTTTTTACAAGCTGTAAAAATAATACCTATCCTAACACTAACCTGTCTATATATTTTTATCAAAAATCGTGACAGAAAAGTTGAGAGATGTACTTTCTTTGAAGGCTGGACTCTTATCGCTCGATTCTCAAACAGCGATGGTAATAATTGGATGCGTGATGATGGTAACTGGTGGTATGACCAGAAAACTGCTATTGGAGCGACAAACGACCCTTCAGTGAACAACGATATGATCTCAACAACCTTTTGGTCGGTCAGCGGCAAAGAAATAAAGATCACGCGCAGTGACGACCCCAGTCACACTCCTCTGTTACAGACCATAGGTAACTGTTTGGGTGGACAAACATTTCGATCCAAAATCACAAGTTATGGTGACTTTAGAAATGGCACAGTTTGGGCCAGTGATCAGTGTCTTGAAGACTGTTCGGTTCAATATGGTGGACATTACAAATCGACAGACGGGTTTCAAAAAGCTGAGTGCAGTGGAAACATCCAAAGCGCCAACAAGATCGGCTTCTGGTGTGACTGGGATACTGGTGATGGATCGGTGATGATGATTGGTGGAGGAGGAAGAAGCTGTGCACGTGCTGATCATGGGATTGGAATTACAGAAACTGGCGCTGCTTCTTTTGTTGAAGAAGGTGGAGTTGGGACTGAATATGACTTTGGTTATGATGCTGTCACAACGAAGAACCAATCCCAGTCCTACTCATTAAATTTATGGATCCGTTAAAAATAATCAGGCCTTTATTTTTTAAATTTAGTTTAGAACAAGAGAACTTTGTGGAGGTTGACTTGTGATTCCAGTTAAATGAGCATGTAATTTAAAATGATCAGTAATAAAGAACCTTCCCCCTCTCATATCAAAGATAAAATAAGTTTACCATCACGCCAGCTACAACGCTAAGATCCTTAAATATCTTTAGATTTTCACTGGAGACCAAATTAATTGCCTTTAAAGTCGAATCATTGAACTGAATCTGATTTGTTACAGAGAAGTATTAAGCGTGGAATCGGCGCGTTGAAAACGAGGCTGAGTCATATTGTTTTGCATCTGCGTATACATAACAGCCATAAGTAACGCTGTTTTCCTTTCTTTTCATTTTTTTTTTCTCTCTTTTTTTGTTTCTTGTTTTTATTCAATTACGCAATACGTGCGATATCGGTTTTCGTGTGCAGTTTAATGCGGAATTCCCTCGTCAAGTAATGAATTTTCTTGTGGAATTTTTATGCAAAAACGAGATTCAGCAGAATTAATTTAAGTCAGACTTACAACTCATCAGTCTTTTCAAGGAAATGTTAAGTATTCATTAATGATTGTGTAGTGACGTCCGTCAGATATAAACAAGAAGGACGCCTGGAACTAATAACTTTGGCACTAGTCATTTCTTATCAC